GTAATGTGAGGTACAAGGACCACCAAGGCAATCGCTCCGACTCTTGCAATGTGAGCAGACCTGCCCAACTGCCGTATTCCTTCTGATGTGTGACCCACACTCAGTGGATTCCAGACCATCTCTGAGTGGAGACATTGAACACAGATCTGAGGAGGATCCTTGCTGGCCCAATTCAAAGTGATTGACAGTAAGATGTGAGAGTCTGGTTTTACTGGTGTGAAGGGTGGTGGGCCCATGTGTCTGCTGAGCTGGGGTCCCTGCCTCCCTCTGCTGAACTTTCACCACAAGCTTCATTTGGAATCACAGTTGGCCTTGCCTACCCTTTAGGCAGGGTTTTGAACTTGAGGGGCCCACCAGTGATAAGACTATTATTTCCCTGTTGAGCAGACAGAAAGTGGCAGAGGTTGGAGGAAGATTGGGCCCCGGTCTTTCTGACTCATTTCCTTGAAGTAAGATCTGCAAGATGAATTCACACATGGAAAAAAACTAAGTAACGTCACTTTAGGCAAGGTGAGGGGTGTAGAGATGAGAACCCCAAACACCGAATGTTCCTTGATAGTTTTCTTCTGGATGGGAGTCATGCCAGAAATAAACCTGCTGAATTATAAATAGTCACAAACACACTGGACCCAAGTTATTGTGGTGCGAGTTAAAAGAAGCCTGGACGAAAACCTGGACATTCACTTCCCAAGAGCTTTTTTTCTGGAACTATCCATGAAACCTACTATAAATTTTGCCCTTTATCTTTGGTTGAGAAGAGTTGTCTTTCATAGTTGGGGGACAAGTTTCAAAAAATAATTTCTTTCTTCTTTCCTGTTCCATTTCCAACCTGCAAATAGCCTCCTTTGGTGGATTAAGACCACCTCTCACACCTTTCAAATATTACCCAAATAAGGCTATTTTGTTCTTTTGCTTAACCTATCTGATTATACCTAAACCTGGATGAGAACTGAGTTTTCTGCCACCTCTGGTTAACAATGGGCAAATATGTCTGAAAGTCTTTGGTGGACTAGAGAAGCAGGCATATTGGTTTGCTTGAAACTAAGAACCGGCTTTAGCTTTAAGCTGCCTGAAGTCATTTTTGGAATAAGGCATGTGGAGGTAAATTAATAAAAGATTTGGGCCCTGCTTCATGTCCAGAAGTGGGTCCTGAGCTGGAGCCAGGAGGGGAGCCAAGTGTCCTGGGGGAACCCTGCTGTTGCTTGTTTACTGTTTGGACAGAAGAGAACGCTCCTGGGAAAAGGCCTGGGCTTAAAAGAATTCCTCCCCTCAACCACGAGCTTTAACACTTATAGACAATAGAATTCAAATAAAGCCCTTCTCATTCTTGCCTTCTAGAAGAGCTGTGACTCAGAGATGGGAAGGGGTCCGGCTTATTTGGAGTCACAAGGTCCTCACAGTGGGCAGGCGTGGGGCATTCAGACACCGACCGCTGGGCCCTACACCTGGTCGGCTCCTTGCCAACATGTGACCTTGAAAAAGTAACAGCCTCTGTGTGCCTCAGTTTCCTTATCTGTGATATGCAGATAGTGACTTGCCTCATGGGGTTGTCATGAGGGTTGAAGGAGTTAATGTCTTATAGGTACTGGCTAAGATCTTCATTGGCTTGTGGCAAGCATTAGGTAAAGAAAAGGTTAGCTATGATTGCTGCTGTTGTTATTGTAAAAATCATCTTCATCATTCTATAGGATGTCAGAGTCTGAATTGCTGGACTTTTAAGGGTGCTGCCTTCCCTACCTCGTCTTTTCCCTGCCAGAATCCTGCCATTCCAGACAAAAGTCTGTTTCTCCTCATCTCAAAGGTCTCTAAGAAAAGAGTCCACCAATTCTCCAGTTATTTGATCTATATCTAAAACAATCCTCCCAGTCAGAAAGTTTTCCTTATAAGTAAATTAACCTCTCTTCTTGAAATTACAGCCATTTCCTCTCACTTAAGCCACTTTAAGACAGAGAAGTGCTTTTCTCCTTAAAATAACTCTCCTCTATTTAAATGCTCTGTTAAATCCCTTTGCTGGCTTTTCTTCTTCTGGAAGCAGTTAGAATCATTGAACTTTTCTCTAGGGCTCACTTCTATTACCTACTTCAATTGTTCTTCTTGCCTCCTGGTTTTCTGTGTATCACTTACAAAACCCAAAGCCACAACTGAAATGAGCAAATATTGACAATTCTTGCTGATGCCATAGGCTAGTGAGAGATTTCTCCTTCACAGCCCATGCCCATTCAATTCCTATTCATTCTGGGTATCATACTTGTTTTCATGGCCACAATCAAAGATACGAATGAATGGCTTCCATGCTTTAACTGAGGGGACCTTCCTGACCTCCTTCAGTGTCTCATCACTTTTTTCTACCAGTTTACCATTTTCAGATGTTGTGATCTTTTTGAGCCTGTTCAAGCGGTTAGACTCACATCCAATTTTGGACTCATTCTTAAATTGAATGAGCAAGGTGAGCTCCTTGAGGAAGAATATCTGACTCTATATCCCAGTACTCATGACCCCCCTGGCTCACAGTAGGTCTTCAAGATACATGTTAGATAAATTTCCTATACCATCACTAACAATATGAGGTGATCAGTCTTGTTAGGACTAAGGTAGGCCCTGGGGTAACATTCTCTGATAGGCCTTGTCTCCCACATCCCCACCTGGACATGGCCGGGAAGTGTACTGAGAGATGGGACTGTTCTCAAGTAGTGTGTGCTCACATGGAAATGTTCTTAGAATTTTAACTCTTGTTATTTTATCTTAGAGTTGGAAATTCTTGAGAAGCCTTTGCAAAGCCTCACAAAAGGAAAACTTGAAGTGCTTAGGGCCTGGATGCCATGCTAATGAGCTCTTTGGAGAGATATGAAGGGAAAAAGTGGGACATTGTGAAAGCAAACCAACAATTACAGTGTCTTATAACTCCAACTTGGTTGGGAATTATTGGTTCAAGTCATACTTTCCACTGGGTCACTGTCTGCGAGTAGCATTCTTCACTGAGAATTATACAGCCACTTGTTAAACACCCATAAGTCAGCCTTATTTCCATCTACTCCAGTATGTGACCCCTGACCCCCACCAGCTGGCCCTGCTCCCCGCTCCTTGCTTACTCTCATTTCTATGGCTTTGC